TGCTCCATTGAATTTCATTTTCCGACCAATGTACCGCCCCCCTGTGGATGTTCTCACCAATTTTCCCCCATCTTTAGAAAGACAATTTGTTGTGACATTTTTATAAATGAGGCCCGGCATCATTTCATGAAGCGTATCCAAACATTTTAGCTTCATAAATATTAAATTGGTTTTGGGCAATCAATAGCAATGGAAAACATTTACTAATAAAACTATTAATTTTTAAGTTTTGGTAATTATGATAGTAATAATTTATTTTTTTATTGCTGGAAATGCAAAAATATCGTTGTCATCAACAATAATAACTTAATGCTCACAAATCAATGGCTGGAAGGTTTGGTGTTTCTTTTTTTTTTCAGCTTTTTCACAAAAAATTTTTTTTTTTTTGTTTCTTAAGGGGGTAGGAAAAGAATATGTATTTATTCACAAATTTGTATCGTTCTTTTTTTTTTAAATGTTAAGAGGCGTATTTGTTTGATATGTTATTTAGGCTTAGGTTAACCAAAATGTTTTAAATGTTTAAAAACCCATTTTATGTCTGCGTTCATTTTAATTTTAAAAGCCAACTTTTAACAAACAGACATGCTCTGCTCCAAAAACCACTTACAAGCTTATGTTCCTGTAATGTGGAACTCGGTGAAGCGAATTTCTCTCGATTTTTTGATAATCCCTTGATACATGCTCAACCTTCGAATCCCCGAAAAGTTCCCTGCTGGCAGTGGTGCACCTTGAGCAAATAGTGAGAAATAATGATTTCGTACGTTTTATTTGCGCCTTTTTGTGGCTGGCATTAAAATTGAAATTGAAATGCCACAGACGGAGCGCAGCAGTGATGGGTACTGGGACTGGAACTGGGACTGGAACTGAGAATGGGACTGGCACCCGACTAAAACCCAAACCAGCTGCTCTGTCAGCTCCTGATGATGATGACAGCGTGGCCGAAAGCGAAAAGCGAAAACCACGTACAGTGGGCCCCGGATTTAAGAGGCATCCGCCTGGTGCCAATCACATGTCCATGCTGGGCTGTTCAAGTGGAGAACGTACTTTGGAGCGTTTTCGCAGTGGGAGGCTGGGTGGGCGGGCAGAACAAACGGAATGGCGACAAGCGCATAGTTTCATTATCCTTCGGCGGGCAGACAGCGGAACAGGCACGGAACAGGACCCGTCGCTACACGAGGCGCATTACAAATTTTCGAAATGAAACTGAAATCAAATAAAGGACAGCGCTCCGCTCCGTACACAAACATCAGTCTGTCGGCGGAACGAAATCTATATGTATATAAAGAACAGCCAACAAAACCAGCAACAATGCCACGCAATTAAAAATGGCCGGGCTGGAACAAAAAAAAAAAAAAACGAAATCACCACGGACGGGGGATATTCAGAAAAAATAAATAAAACAACCGAAAATTGGCAGCAACGGTGGAATGACAAACATGCTGCGAATTTGTAATCTGTAATATGAATTCGAATTTTAAAGATACATTCTCCGGCAGCCGTGGGGAGCTGGAACAATGTGGGGCATGAAGCGGAAACGGATGCAGGTGAATATGATTGCAGCTCGATTTAATTGAGTTGCCCTGGAATGCCGTCGAAGGACTGAACAGACACTTTACATACACATCGCACATGCATGTGATGCGGAAAAAATGAGGAAAAACAATCGGAAAAAGATTGGCAACAATCCAATCAGCTATACTGTAATTGGCAAATGCAAAATGCGAATGAACGGATACTTTTTGCGGCAAATTGATTGAGAACTCAAAATTGGCAAAATGATGAAATGTAATGCAAATGCGGTTTCAGTTCGAATTGCTTTCGGGGCGTCCAGAAGAAATGTTTGGGGATGGACCAAATTGTGTGAATGAATTGTGCTGCTCAATCGTGCGGAAAAGTGAGTTAAGTTGCACTTGCAAGTGCATTAAACAACTATTATTTATTAGATCAAATGTTAAAAGCTGGGTTGGCTTGATTTAAAATGTGTTGTATTAATACACTTATACCTAAACACATTTTTCGTAAAACATTTCAGTACTTAAAATGATTTTTGGTAATAATTTGAATTGATAAATAGATTACAGCAAAGATTTTTTATTGGCATAAGTCAATTTAGACTGCAAATGATCTTCAATCTCATTTTTGGCCATATCAAATAATTCATTTCACACATCTAATCGATCACTTTACCAATTATATCATCCTTCGATGGCTGCCAACATTTGTTTTGCACACTCACTTCCAATTTTGCCTTTACTTTTGGCCAGTTTTCAAACTTCCTGACTGACTGACTGACTGGCTGACTGATTGCTTTGTCTTATCAATGCCCTCGAACCGAATACAATTCAATTTGTACAACTGCCACACCCACCGGGCAAGTGACGCCCAATTTGTCTTCTTTCCAGTATTTATTCCTTTTTGGCCTTGTTTTACCTCTGTCTGTTTTGCTGGCGCTTCTAATCAGAATTTGTAACCAATTTACAATGCTCGATGCGTTCCCTTTGTCGCTTACGCAATCATCCAAAAACCATTTCGTACCAGCTTCGAAAAAAAAGCATTTGACTTTGCGATTGAATCAAACAATCAATTATCTTGTCTTCTTCTGTCTTACGCTTTTTTCGTAATATTTTCTTCATCTGATTCAGGTTTTGTTTTTTGTCATCCCTGACTTTGATGTTCCCCACCAGCAGTTGCCATTTTTATTGGCCACATTTTTGTGAAATGTGCATCGACAAAGAGATTTGACTGCACTCGAAAAGAAGACCAGATATTGTACTAAAATGCAAATAGCATGTCACCAAAAAAGTGCATTGGCGCGTTTTAGAGCTAAGGAAAAATCCTATTGGAATGATGAAATTGAAAAATTGATCAAATGTAAGGAAATGTTGCTTATAGTTCCTTGATTTTTTTTTCTTTTTTCTGTTATTGCTTGGAATATTCTTCGAAATATTTCTTAAATGAGGAAACGATTTTGTTTATTTTTATGTGTTATGTAAAATTGATTTAAATTCAGTTTTCAGCGTATTATTTTGGGAATAAATTTAAAATTAAGCAGCTTGTGAACCTTCCCGGCATTTCTGTGGCCGACACTCTTTTGTCGACCATCTTGCACATCAACAGGAAGTCAAATATACGCACACGCATACGCCTGGCACATAGAATACAAACATGTCCTCGGCAAAATGGCGAGCATAAATTTCCGCTTGCCATCCGCCGTCTGACGTTTTATGAGCAGCGGCGGGCCAAGGAAAGCCGGCAACTGAGTCAAAGATTGTTTATGGTGGCCAACAGTTGATTCATCGCATTTAATGGATAACGCCGAAGCAGATTCAGCACAAAAAGAATCCAATTCGCGAGCGCACAGTGAGCATATGCGAACTCTGCCATTTTATGCTGAATTTATGAATTTATTTTTGCCGCACGAGAATGCGGTGGTCTAAAATATTGAGCAATAAATTTACCAAGGGAACATGTCTCTTTGCAGATATACGCAGGCATAAATTGAACGTAAATTCCTCAACTCACTCAACTCCTTCATCAATTATGATTATTTACATGTTGCTCTTCAGCACGCGCCCCCTTGAAATCCCCCAATTACCAGTGATTGTTTCTCGACTGGCCTGAAATTGCATCGCCTGATCCCCCAATTGTTTGGCCAAAATGTCGATGGCTTATCATTTAATGAACTGCCCGGCCAGGAACAACATCAACACAATATGACTATTGTACTTATGGCAATATCCCCATTTTATTATCCTCTGTGGGCTGTGCGTATATTCAGGCATTGGCCTTTATTTAACGCGCTAAAGTCGGCGCTTATTTTTTTATTTAGGTCAACTTTATTATATGCACATAATTACAAAAGCCCACACACTGAGCCTCCGTGTGTGTGCTGGCCGGAGATAAAGCATTTATGAAGACAGACATGTGGGAATTGCGGTGCTGGCAGGGCAAACAAAGTGCCATCGGGGGGACATCCTTCTGCCTTCCGAGTCTCATTTATTTGCGCTGTTCTAATAATAAGAAATAATGTCGTTTCATGTCCTATTCCAGCCAGCTTGTCCCATTGTCTATGTCCTGGCTTCTGCTGCTGCTACTGCTGATGCTTCTCCGTTCGAAAGGACGCTCTAAAGGCCCAAGTAAAATATTTATGCGACAAAAGACAATTTTGGATTTATGCCCCTCGGTGTATGTACTTCGCTCACATCCAACCACCAGCACTAAAAGCAGCTGACTTTGGCTTTTTGTTCCTCTAGTATTTTTCCCTTTTTTGGCCGAACAGGAACTGCTCCATAAATAGCACAGCCTTGTCAGGCTCTTTCGTGTGCGAATTTATGTGGCAATGGGCAGGAAATTGTATGGCTAAACATGGCTCGATTGGGGGAGCATTGTGGCCTGAATCTGGGACAGCAGACTAAAGTGTGCTAACTTTAATTGAAGTTCATTTGGATGGACGAAAGGCTAGAGCATTACATCCTCTGAACGTTGTTGAACGTGTTTTAAAACTGACACCGATTAGGTTTCAATTTCTTGATTTTTGCCATATTTCAGAAGCTTTATTTAACATATGCCAAGTTCCATACAACAAAAGGAAATTCAGAAACACAAATTTAACTGCTGTTTGACTCAATTTTATATGTGTACACACTTTGATAAAACACTAACGAAATGAAAAATACTGTTCATGCCTATTAAATTAAATTTTGTATACCATTTTTTATGTCGACTGACATTGTTACAAAGGAAAAAAAGGTTAAAGCAATGACATTTTAAAATGGCCAATCTTACGGTTCCATTAGCAAAAAAATTCTTAAACACATTTGTATTTTTAATTATTTAAATAAATAATATATTTTTGCATTGTCTAAGAAATCACCACAACTCCCAGTTCCCTACATAACTTTTGGATTGTCTTGCTTAAATTTGCATCCAATAATCCTCGCGCAGATGGGGTCATCGGTTAGTCTTAGCTTTAGCTCTCATTTCCACAGAACTCTGGCCGTTTGCCACACAGATGTAAAACAGAACAAAATTGAAAAGTGAAAAAAAATTAAGAGTGGTCCTTTCCGATCTAATCGGAAATGAGCAGGAGAACGTTGCGGCGGCATCATCCACCGCCATGCATCCAAAACTCCATTTCCATACCCTGCGAAGGCACCAGGCGCGGTCGCTTCCAAACGATGGACGCATATCCCTTGGTCCGAACGATGGATTCACATTGCGACCCCAACAAGGACAGGGCCAATGGCTGGTTGGCCAGCTCCATCGAGGCTGATGGCCGTGGGCGAGCCTTCGACATGGTCAAGGACAACGTGCTGCTCGCTTGGCAGCAGATTCCGCACAAGGACACGTTGGGCTTCTATGGCGTCGGCTCGCCCACCCACCAGCCCGAATCGGTGGTGTTCAACCGGCTGATTTCGTCCTGCCTGGCCAAGGTCAGCGGTGGCGTCTCCCGGCGGCACCGCCCCAAAAATATACAACCGCCAGATCCAAATATTATCCCAAGACCTCAGATTGGCGAACCCTTCGTTCTCAATCGCCAGGCCTTGCAATCGGAGCTGCAGCAGATGCCCCATGTTCAACTGCAGCTGGATCCGCGAAAAGCTTTGGAGACATTTTATTGTAATGATCCTTCCGATCCACATGATCCCTTTGGAATGAAGCGCCGGATGGAGGAAGTGATCTCCAGAAATCAAGCCCTCAAAACGGAACCTAAGCCCAAAAAGAAACCACATGGTTTGCGTCGTCGCCACTGGTATTGTCCCATGGACTGTGGCGAAGCTAAAAATGTTTGCACTCAGTATGAATGGGACAAATACAAACTGGATCCACGTCCATTAAACAGAGAATTCAGGGAATGGCTGCAGGAACAAAAGGAGCAGAAGAGCCCCGAGCCCAAGGACTACGATGAGTTGCACAAGAGGTTTTTAAAGTGCTTTGAACCAAAACCTTCGCCTGATCCGTTGTTCAAGATCTACGAGGATTGTTGCAAGCCCAAGAAACCAAAGGAAAAGGACAATCATGGAGGTGGTGATGGACATGGAGATAATGATGATGGTTTAAAGCACGGACCACCTTCCGGTGAAGATGGTAAACCGAATGGCGAAGATATTACCGAAACCGGAAATGGAAATGGCGATAAAATCACTGATGATGGAGACGATGGAACAGGCGACGGAAAGGATAAAGGAGATCGCAATAATAAAGATGGTGACGAAGACAAGGACAAAAAAGACACAAAAAAAGATAAGGATAAAACTAAAGACATAAATAAAGATAAAGTTACAGATGAAGACAAAAATAAAGATAAGGATACAGATGAAGGCGAAGACAATGATAAAGAAAAGGATAAGGATAAGGATAAGGATAAGGATAAGGATAAGGATAAGGATAAGGATAAGGATAAGGATAAGGATAAGGATAAGGATAAGGATAAGGATAAGGATAAGGATAAGGATAAGGATAAGGATAAGGATAAGGATAAGGATAAGGATAAGGATAAAGATAAAGATAAGGATAAGGATAAGGATAAGGATAAGGATAAGGATAAGGATAAGGATAAGGATAAGGATAAGGATAAGGATAAGGATAAGGATAAGGATAAAGATAAGGATAAGGATAAGGATAAAGATACAGATACAGATAAAGAAAAAGAAAAAGAGAAAGAGAAGGACAAAGACAAAGACAAAGACAAAGACAAAGACAAAGACAAAGATAAAGACAAAGATAAAGACAAAAATAAAGACAAAGATAAAGTCAAAGAGGAAGATAAAGACAAATACATAGAGAAAGACAAGGAGAAAAAGAAAGGCAAAGAAAAAAACAAAGACAAAGAAAGAGGGAAAGAGGAAGAGAAACATCATGAAAACGACAAAGACAAAGGTGAAGAAAAGGATAAAGACGAGGAGCTATATGAAGATAAAGATAAAGACAAAGGCAAAAAGGATAAATCGGATAAAAAGAAAAACAAAAATCTTAAACCGCCAAGAAAGTCCGAGAAAGGAAGGCCCAGTACGGTTCCAAATTTGCCGTGGCCGAACGAGCCCCAAAATCCCAGTAATGAAAGTCCCACAGGTGAAACCGATGTTCCAGCAGGATACTTGGAAACGTTAGTGCCTGGGGAACCGAAAGACCAATTAATCGTACCACCCAAACGCAAGAAAAGGTATAAGTGCAACAAAGAGGATACGGGCAAGCGCAGGAAGTCCTGCAAACCGTGTCCGCCGCCGGGTTGCGAGTGTGGGATCTGCCGCTTCCTGGATCGCCGCGATGAACCGGAGGCTCCCTTCATGCGGGACATGAGGCGGCAGGAGCAGAGACGCCAACAACGTGCCTACTACCGCCAAATGTGCCACCGGGAATATATGCGGAATCGATGTCGCGAGGAGGAGTACCGAGCACCCCCCCACAAATGCGATCCCATCTGCTGCGACAACTTCCTGTGCCGCAATCCCCGTCTCGCCGAGCACTGCGACTGCCTTGGAGCCGTACAGGAGCTGCAGAAGCTGCTCTCCGGCGCCAAGGATCAACAGGATTACGCCGGGCCGCTACAGTGCGTCGAAAATCTGCGCAGGCGCGTCTGCCAGCGGATCTGCGATTGCATATTGCCATAAACTAAATCGGAGAGAATTTCTTTTTTCTTGTTTCAGGTTATTTTTTTTTTTGGACCGACAATATGTGTTGTATGTATTTTTTTTTATGAGTCATTAAAATCATACACTTTGAACAAGTTTCAGTGATAATCTCTAAATATACGAAAATAATTAATAAGTGTTATTTATGTATATTTCAAAAGAAGCTATTTTCGATTATTCAAAACATTAAAAAAAATGTAATTATTTTAAAAATGTTTACATAAATTAATTTAAAAAGCTATTTTTCTTTTTATTTTGATTTTTATCCCAACTTTTAATCAGGGTTCTTAGCTTAGAATTATGAGTTTATAAAATTGAAATCCAAGAAAAGCTTTTAAGAATAAGAAAAAGATGAAAAAATTCACTTATTTCATTTATTATTGCAAATTAAAAAAAATGATAAACACATATTTCTATTTTAATTTCAAAACATTTTCCATTTATATTTAAAATATTACAATTAATACGAAGCCTGCTTTTTTAAGAGATTCCTTTTTAATATACAGTAATCCAATCAAAATATCTATTTATGATCTTATCGAAAAGAAATGTTTGAACAATTTCAAATGACTAACTTCCCAAGCCGCAATATTAGCCCAGGCAATTTACCACTCAGCCATAATTCTGCAAGTACAAAACACTTATGACACAATACACATTCTGCCACTCTGCACACAAATCCTGAGCGGCAAACTCAAACACAAAAACACAAAATCCTCAAGCAATACCCGAGGCTTGGCTGAATCTGGCCAAGTCGGGCATTACAGCCACTTTATTTTCAATATCGAATTTCCCAAAAAATTTTCAACAGCCGCAAACACTTGAACGTTTTCCCAGCGCTCAATTAAAGGCCATTAGGTGGGAGTCAGCAGCAGGGAGAGTTGGGGGGGAAAAGTCCACAGTCAGCTTACAAAAACTACCCGAAACCTCGTACCAAATCCGTTGCAATATGTGTGCTATGTATGGCCAAAGGATATGCTGGAAACACGCATTGAATTTCGCAGACAAAGAACACAGGCTTTTGTAGAATTCCCCCCATATGCGAAAATTCACATGGTGGAAATCTTCCCTCCCCACCCCTCAAAAATTATTACCCCCAGGCACATTACTAGGCAAAAAATGTTTCGCTCCTCAGGCATGGAGAGTAATTAAAGTTTTGCTCAAGTGTCGATAAATTATGCGGAAGACGCTCTATGCAAATGACTTACAACAATACGAGCAGCTGCCAAGCGTGGCTTGACGAACTGACAAGCTGACAGACTGGTGGACTGACAGACTGCTGGACGGACAGATGGGCGGAAGGAAGGAAGGTCGGACGGACGGACAGTTGGGCATTCTTTCAGCCTTCGAATGACAGGCACTTCATCATCGTGTCCTTCGGCGAGTGTGTAATTCATCACGCGAACAACCGCAGCTTCCCGCCCATCCGCAAAAGTGACATGACATGTTGAGCCTGCAGTTTGGCCCAAAAAGGGATGTGGCGGGGGGGGCGAGGGTAATTTTCCATCTCGTGGGGAACAGGGAAAAGTGGGGGAGAAGGCTTTAAGTTCGGTGAGCCGCTTTTCGTGATGAGGCATGGCAAAAGGAATGCTATTAAGCAAGTTGACATTAATCGTTCTGACTTCCAGCGGTGGTAAAGTCAAGAGGGGAGGGGATGGGAGGGGGTGAACCTCATGTGCTCTGGTGCTAATGAAGCTCTGGCAGTCACTAGGCTGCCTGTAATGGGAAAACAATTAAGTATGTAACATGCAAATGACGAGCCCTAAAAATCTTGTCAAAATGTTCGTCATGCATATTGATAAGTTTAGGGAGTGGCTCCAAGAAGAGGGTATTACATGCTGTGCAATTAGTACATCCTCCTTGGCTGTCGTCGGTGAATAAATATCAGCTTTAAGATTGGCAAAGATTGCCCCATATCACACACTTGTAAAGAGATTGCTAGTAGCACTCTTAGGGTAAAATTTTGCTAACTTCATATATATCAATTGTTTGAGGTAATGCCAATTAATTTTTGTATGGAAAGTATTTTAATTACATATCAAACCTGCGTAATTAAATGAAAAATATTTACAAGATCCTCATATACTAATATATTTTCTGTTACAATCAGTATTAAGCACACACAAATTATTTGATTTTGATTTTATAATGCACAATATAAGTCCACCTTCTGTATTTTAACACAAGTGTAGCTGCCCAGTCAAAAAGCTTAGAATCTACATAAGTGTGGTATTAATTCTCGAATCCAATAAGCCATCTTCAATAATAAGCAAATAAATATGCATTTACCTTCTTGAATGTGAGTCGCTTTCATGAAAATGAAGATGGCCAAACAAAAGCCTAATTGGCCCCACGAAACTACTTCACACAATCAGTAGTTATATGCTTAAATCCTAATTTATGTTGACAATAGAAAATTTGTTGGTGCAGTTTGAATGATAAAACGCATTGCGAAATGGTAGAAGATAACCAATAAACAGGATTACGCATACGCCACGTGGCCACCCCCCATATTTCCGTTCAAGCCTCTTGTCTGATTAAACTACTGCACATTTTCGTATGCACAATATATGTATTTATTTATGTTTGCTTAATTAATGAACACTAATTCCCATGCTTACCTGCCCTCCGCCTTAAGTCCTGGCTTTTCCACCCACCTAACTTAACCAATTTCCTATTGTTCGGGCCCAGGAGCAAATTTCAGTTAGTAAAGATACTTGGATCTATGGCTTGTATTGTTTGCGGCAATCTGCACATTAATGTTAATGCAATTATGAAATTCAAACCTTGTTTATTTGTGTGCTCATAATTCCGGGGTTTTGATTTAAGCTTACCAAATAATTGGTGTAGGTAGTTTGGTCTTATCAAAACGCAATTGCAAAGCTAGAGCATTGGTTCAATATTTATTAAGTGTTGTTAAAATCTCATTAATTCAGCACATAATTGCTCTCAAGAAATAGTGTAATTATAAAACACTGAAATTTAATTTATTTCCTTTTTATCATAAAAAACCTTTTTTAAATAATTTTGAAAAACGACTTGTTTGCACCTTTGCGGTTCTTTATGGACATTTTTATATAAAAAAAACGTAATTGTTTTACTTTGTTACCAATGGACATATACAATATAATTTTAAATCAACAATAAAACTGAAAATTGCTTACAGCTAATTTTATTTTATTTAAATGGGTTTTCCCTCGAGATTTCCTCACAAACTTTTCCCGCAGTTTACTCTCTTAAATAGCGCTAATAATAAGAATGAAGTTGAAGTGCCTTTTACGAGCGCTTGCAACGTATGACGATGGCGATTAGCATTAAATTGGGCCCAGGCCCACACATAAAACCATTTTATATCCTCGCACAAACAGGTGAGGGGTCCAAGAAAGAGGGAGGAATGAAAGAAAACTCGTACAGTTGACACTCCCTACCACCAAACCTCCCCCAGCAAGGTGCCCAATTTTCGGCAAATGTTTTGGCTTTTTATTGGCCGCGTGTCGCATCATGCCAGTGCTGCTCCTTAGATGCCGCAGTTGACTCTTCAAAAATGGCCAGAACATAAAAATTGTATTTAGCCATAAAGTGGAGCGTAGAGTGTAGAAATAAAAGTAGCTAAAATATACATAAAACGATTTTATATGCGGCTGACAGACAATTGAATTGACTTCTTGTACTTTTGTACTCAAAGGCGTGTCTTGATTCGTCTATTAAACTCCATTGTTCTGGAAGTCAACGCTTTATTGGATTTAAGTTCCTGCTTTCGCCGTTTTTACTTGCAAAGTCCTTCTGGTAGTGTAAACGAAAAAAAAGGAATCTTCTGTTCGCATTTTTTCGAATTTCCTTTCATATTTTCTTTTTACATCCATTAGAAGTTGCTTTAGGGTATATGCGCATATCTTGTTAATCCTTCTGCTAGTTAAAAAAAGGTAATTCTCAATGTGATTTTCAATGTTTGTGTGGTTATACCCTTTAATCAATTTTAAAACTATTTTTTACTATATTTGTGTTCTTTTTTAAATTTTTTAATCTATAGTCTTTCAATAATATAATCTTACCTTATGGTTAAAAGTGTTATAAACTTCACTACATGTTAAATTGTTGAATGTATTATTAATTGTAATTATAATTTAGTTAAATAAATAATTAATCATTGTGTCTAAAACTATTATTTTTTAAAGGGAGATAAATACTTACCTAAACGGTATTTCGTAGTCGCATTTTCACATGCCTCATTCTTTTTACTGAAGTCCTCACGATGTTTGTCATTTGTGAGTTGTGTGATGTTTGTGTGAGGGGAGGTTGGACCACTTGAAGCCGGATTCCACCCAACACGGAGTTCGCAGTCTAAAGTCAAGTGTGTCTGTTCCGTGCCCCTACACTTGCCCCAAATATGATTTCAATATTTTTTCTGCTAAGAACATTTCAATTTATGTTCTTTCAGTTCTGGTTTTGGGTCTTGCACAGTATGCGAATGGCTGCCCCCCATCCCCGTGTCCTTCGGCTTAGTGCAAACATAAATCGCAGAGCATATTACACAACGTTAGATGCGTGCCCAGCATCTATGTGTAGGAGAAAAGAGGTCCTGCTTCCCCTTTTTCCCAACAGTGTTTGCATTGCAAATGGCTGCAAACGATGGTGGGGCAGCGGATTGAGTAAGCATAGTTAGGGTTACGGGAACAAAGAGCAAACTTTTTACGCTACGATTGTCCTGTTGCTGCACTTGAGGGGATCGGCAGGAGAGGAAGGGGCTGCCGACTCCCCAACTAAGGAACCAGCTTAAGCTTCTGTGGGCAGAGATGAGGGCTCCGGGGTTCCAGGAACCCAGCACGCTCCGATTAGAGCCAGACAACGTGGGAAACTGTTGAGCTATCAATATTAAAAAGGGAGCGTGAAAGGGATTTTTAAAATATTCATTCGTCCTTGATTAGTCTTGTTCTGCAATCAATCACTGCTTTGGAAAGGGTCGAAGCTCAATATTTCTTTATGTACTCCTTCGAAAGGTTGTTTTAGTGTTGTTGATGAAAGTGTAACAAGTGCCTCACTTGTTTAGAATATTAA